TAACGCGAGGTCTAACGTGGACGTGCCTCTGGTGTAGATCATTATGTTTGGATCCTTTGGATCCTTATCCATTCAGTTGACTGTCTAAATTCGCCTTGTCCTGCAGCTTGTCCGAGTCTTCTTCGGTTCCGAGGCGTTCTTCGGTTCGCTTGTAAGAGGCCTTACAACTTTTGTTTACAATAGCTTTTGTGCCGTTATCAATTGTTACGCCTGTTTTCAACTATTGTTTAGGACTTCTACGAAATGAGTCGGAGGAATCAAAACCAGTTCTTGTTTGATCTGCAGTCCAACATTGCCAAATTGCTTTAAAGCTTATCGGTATCAAATGTTTAAAATAAAGTTGGTTTTTATCGGAATTTACTGTTTTATCTAATTTTATATTAGTGTCGTTTTTGAAGGCAAAAATTCAAACAATTGCACTAAGAACGGCATTGCAGGAGAAGTGGGAAGACATTTCCGGGGAATGTTTGACGTCACATCCAGAGGAAGCCAGGAAAGATTCGGAAATCGGAGGTAAATTCCAGGAGAAGCCATGTCGAGGGGAAGCTAGTAGAAGCTCGGAAAAACCTTCCTATAGAATTCGAAAAAAAAAACCTACGAAGAACCCAACAAACATTGGCAGGTGAATAAGAGCTTATTCAGGCAAAAATATGCTTCTTCAACTCAAATATGGCTTATTCAGCCTTTAATCAACACTAATTGTTTTTTGAGAATGACTTATCCAGCTTTCCATGCTCGGTAATGGTGGCCTGTTTGTATGAATAAATGTATCCTTCACTGTGCTTTTGACACTAACTGGAGGGCGTATGAAGTTCCATTTTATTCTGTTCCTGGGAGAGGGAAAGGGAGGAGTCAAAATCCGAATATCCAGACAGTGTCAAAAAGCACAGTGAAGGATACATTTATTCATACAAACAGGCCGCCATTACCGAGCATGGAAAGCTGGATAGAGAAGCTTCCAGAGTAAGACGAAAGAAACTGAGAGAATTTACATACATCCGGTACAAATTTAATGAAACTTCCTGAAGAAGGTGGAAGAAACTTCCTGGAGATGCTGAAAGAAACTTCCTAGCTCTGCCGGTAGAACATAAAGCAATTATTCTGGGGGCAGTTTGAAGAAAGCTCTGAGAAAAATTGGTAAAACATCCTGGGAACTTCCAAAACAAATATTGAGTAGCTTCTGGTGAAAATTTAAAGGAACTTTCGGAAAAAAATCGGATGACACATCCAGGGAGAGCCAGAAAAATTTCACAAATCGAAGACAAATTCCAGGAGAAACCATTTCAAGAGGAAGCCAGTAGAAGCTCGGAAATACCTTCCAATAGAAGTCGGAAAAAAACCCCACGGAAATGACTTATAAAAAAACTTCATAAGGACGACGGAAGAAACTTTAAGGAGAATTCGATACTCAAATCCATTTAAGAAGTTTAATGGGACTTGCTGGAAAAGATGGAAGAAAATTCCTGGAGACGTTGGAAGAAACTTACAAATATTCAAGAAAGAAAATTAAGAAGTTCTACTTGAGGAAGTTTGATAAAATTATGTGAAGATACTTTCGAAAAAAAAACAAATCGGTTGACACATCCTGAGGAAGCCAGAAAATTTCGGAAATCGTATGCAAATTCCTCCTGGAAGTAGCCACTTCCAGAGAAGTCAGAAAAGCTCGGAGAAACCATTCAATAGAAATCGAAAAAAAAACCTTCTAAAAATGGCTTATGGAGAAACATTCAGAGGAAGATGCAAGAAACTTCTTGGAGAATTCGATAGAAGCTTAATAGAACTTCCTCGGAGAAGGGGAAGGAACTTCCTGGAGATGCTGGAAGAAACTTTTTAAGGTATTGGAAGAAATTTCAGGAAGATCATCGGCTCTGTAAAGCTAATTCAATTGATCCTAATCAAATTAATTAATAAACAAACAAAACGTGGAACTGTCGTGAAGATCATTGAGTTTCCCTGAAGTTCTTTGGACTTGTGAACTTTCCGAAATATTTCTTATTTTTTCTTAAGTTCACAGGATTTTTCTAAACTTTTCTGAAATTCCCGGGGACTCGATTTTACATTACAGATCTGTTAACTTACTGAACAGTCTGGACGTTTCTGAGGTTTCAGTAATTCTTAACAATTCCTGTAGTTGTACTGAAGCTAATGGAAAATAACTTATAGTGGAAGTAAATTTCAGGGGAAAGTTAAAAAAACTTCCAATGAAAGTTTAAATAATTTTTACGAAATTAAAAAAAAAATATCATTTGTATTATTGTTCACTCAATAAAAGTTTTTCGAGATTTCCAGGATCCAGGATCAGTTGTTTTTCAATTCCTGGGTAGCCAAAACTGGCGAGGAAATTCAAACATTAGTGAAAGTGTATAAGCATAAGACATTTTAAAAGATGAATAGATTGTTGAGGATTTTGAGGCACAAACAATTAAAGAATTATTCAAAAATAAAAAGAAAAAGTATCATACAATACACACTTAGAAACACCTAATTTTACACGTGACGGAATCTATATTTGACATAAAGGAGAAAACTTAAACAAAAATGTCATGTTAAATTAAGTGCTCTGAGACTGGAAAGTTCGTTACTCGACGAAAAGTACGTTTGATTGAGCTAAATTTCGCGTCTACTTTGACTTAATTTTATGTCAAAATTTATGCTCGTATATGTCTGTCTCAGAGCACCTAAATTTACATGAATGTTTCTAAGTGTGTACCCAACAAACATTGGAAGTAGAATAAGAGCTTATTCAGACAAAAATATGCTTCTTCAGCTAAAAAAAAATGCTTATTCAGCCTTTAATCAGCACAAATTGTTTGGCAGACAATAATCATTTTGATTATTTAAAAAAAAAGGTATAGATCGGGATAAAATCACAAAAATAAGTATTATGAGAAATCTTAACTGTGTATCGGTATCACGTTCAAAAATCGGTTTAAATACCGATTAATCGGTATATCTGGCAACGCTGCTGCAGTCAACAGAATAAGGCTGTCCACGAGACAGTTGCGATCAGCTGACTTTTTTGTTTACCAAAAACTTTTGACAGATCACAGTAGAACTGGCAGTTTATTCTCATATGAATGTCTGCTTTGTTTATGTTAACATTCAGCCCCATTAACACCAGATCACTCACACACGCTAGATTTCTAGCTATCAGTTCCACTGAGAAACGTCTCTTGGATCATCTTATAGGGATTTTCACGTCCGGTTGTATTGGTGCGCTATGTAAGAGCGTGTTAGTGAAAATACGAGGAAAATACATAACAAATCGCTGTCAAACTTATTTTGACAGATCTAATTTCATACATTTTTTAGGTTAGCCAGAGGAAAACAACAACTGTGCTAGTGTGCGTGCGTTAAACGTCACAAATCTCCATACGAGAGCAAGTGCCAGCTCGCTGGGTTTATTTTCTATTTACAATCATTTCGTTCATTTCATGCAAACATTTATTTTTCGAGCGCTACACAAAATCGGTAGCTTATCGTTTTAAGGGTGGTATACACCATGAATAGTACTTTTGATGGTCGAAAATCATAGCGATCCACCCATGCCTCCTAGAGGCTTGATGTCTTCGGCAAAGTTGTTCAGGTGGAAAATTACTATCATTTAACATCATTAATTCCTTATTAGAGAGTTGTATACATTTTTCTACTTAAGTTAATTTAAATCTTTGGTTTTGTTAGTTAGGCAGGTTCCAATTCAACACGTTGTAGTTTCATTTTTATACCTGTAATCTTGGCATTTTTACCTACACTAATAAAAATTCAGTTCTAGTTTTTATGTGTCCCACACATGAATTTTTGCAATGTGACAAACAAATGATATATATGTGTCGGACACATAGTTCTTATGTGCACACATAAAATTTATGTGATACACACATACTATTAATTTGATTAAAAAATTTCATGTGTTCTTCTGAGTGCATTCTGTTTATGTGGAATTTTACATGGAAATTCGCCAAAATGTGTCGAATTTTATGAGTCTAGGGGATGAGTACTTGAGGGGGTTAGGTTTTGATAAGTCTTTAGTGGAAATGACACTGATGAAGACTGCACATTGTAGTCGAAATACGTATCTGCAATAGATACCAAAATTAATTAAGTGGAACTAAATGAAAGATAACCTTTTTTGCTGTTTTATTTAAGCATTCCGCTAACAGCCCAATTTCACTACTTCACCACTTGAAATAGTAATTTTTGAAAATAAATATAATTTTTATCTTATACACTATTTATTCAAAAAAAAAAAAAAATAAGGCTGCCATACTCAAATACGGGTAGATGCGTCGATTATCGTGCAATATCCCTTCTGCAGTCAGATTGAGATCACTTGAGGGATCCTTCGTCGGCGAATAAACGACATGTTTTCGAGGGGACTGCTTCGATCCCGATAGCCCAGTGTCAAATAACTGTTAAATTTCTAGAAAACAACTTGCAGATTATGCATCTGTTTATCTGTAATTTATAATCAGTGTACTATTCAGTGAAGATAAAAGAGCAGTGGCAAATTATGATTGAGTATGATTTTCCGGTGAAACTCATAACACTGGATCGTGTTACGTAAATCGAAATCAAGCGTTAGGGTTGCAGATGAGATTTCGACCTCATTCGAAGTCTTAAACGAATTGAAGCAGAGTGATGAACTTTTGAACTTACTTCCAAACAATGCTCTGTAAGGAGCGATAAAAAGTTGATTATAGAACTCACTTATTAGATGTGATGCATTTATTTCGTTATTCTCCATACGCTGTAAGAGGGATAGGGGACGGGAGTGTATGATTATGTGACAAGCAATGCATTAGGTATAGGAAAAACGTGATAAAAGTGGGGAGGGGGAGGGGTCAATGTTTTCCTCAATTTCGCGTGACATCATTAATGCACGTTGTCTTCTCAAATACGGGTTTGTGATTATGGGGCAGTGACGGAAAGGATAAATTTATAGTCGGAAGGCTTCAAAATCTTTTAATGAATAACTGGGAAAACACTCTACGGATATTAAGTTGAGCATTAGCATGCCTTTCAAATCAATGTTTATTCAACAAATCAGTCTAACACAATCACTCCAAGCCGGATTGCTCTCGGTAACACCGCTTGAAATCTAAACACCAGTATCAGTTGTTAAATGCTGATTATCATCCCCGATCGCACCCGTTTCAAAATTGCCTGAATCAATAGAGTGTGGCGCTTGAAGCTACATTTTCGAATCTAGTCATGCTGATACTTGCATCACATCCCCGGTTAGTGCGATGGCTTCGATCTCAACCGCTGCTCCCAAGGGGAGTTTATTTACCGCGAAACAGGTCCTGGCCGGAAAGTTGCTGGTGAACACTGTAGAACAAAAAAAAATCGATTTTAAATTATGTCATCTAATATTCACCTTGTTTCAACCATACCTCGCTTGTATTCATCATTCACGGTGCCATAGTCGTTCATATCAGCCAGCAGGATGGTTGTTTTGACGACATTCTCGATGCTTGATCCAGACACTTGCAGCAGATTAGTCAAGTGTTCCAGGGCTTTGCAGGTTTGGGCAGCAGCACCTCCGTCCACGAGTTTGAGTGTGTCGAGTTCCATACCCAGTACTCCAGAGCAGTACACCGTACGATCAGCTACCACGGCTTGGCTGAAAACGAAAATGGTTACTGTAGCGTTATGTAACACTTATAGAAAGGGCCTACTTACTTGTATGGAGCCAAAGCTTTAGGGCACTTTTGAGTGTGAATGATTTTGCGTACGATGCTTGCCATTTTCAGTAGGGAGTTCTCTGGATGTTTCAAACCGATCAACGGAACGAATACGACTGACGTGCTGAGGTCGATGGAGTAGGGAAATGATTGCTAACTAATACAGCTGTGGTTGACGACTGGTGGTGGTTCATATTCAAATTGCAGCCGGTATATATAGCATATCAGCGTGGAAGAGCTGATAATGGGACTATTATGATTTGGGAGAATGTGAATGAGTATGTAAACAAGGGTTCATCACTAGGATTTTGGACGATATGCTGCTGAAATACATCGGACAGGGAACTTAAAGTTTGTTTATTTATCAACAGTGTAGTGAATGGATGTTTCTAATATAAAATTGATAGTTTGATGATTGGTTAGCACAATGATTTGCAAAATATCGCAATCATGACTTTGCATGTTTGTTGCTCAAGCTGCCGTTTTTTGATATCACATGAATATAATGCTAATTACAACTTTATTTTAATTCAAGACTGAAAAGACAAGAAAAGATTCGAATCAAGTTAAAAAGGATAGGTATATCAAGATTTGAAAAAAAAAACAGTTTTAAGCTTCGAAATCCTGATTTTTTTCTTCTGTTCGGGACAAGTTATTTCTATTGTAGTATATCCCATGTCCTTCGTTTAGTGCATGTCGTATTTCTCCATAACTATTGAGCAATGATGAAGTATTCGATTTTGATACAGTTGTCATTATTGCCTTCATCGCAAGGAATCGATTCTGATTGAAAGGTCCCGCTATTTATACCCTTCGGAGTGTTGAAACACTCTCAAACGGCGCGCCGCCTTGTCAGTCAAAATTGGATTCCTGGAATTAAGCAATGATATCGATAATGACCATGCATAAGATCCCTAGTCTAGCGACGCCAGTGGTGTAGTGGTAAGCGTGATTACCTGTCACCCCAGAAGGCCTGGGTTCAATCCCATTCGGCGCCGCCGGGATGTTCTGAGGCATTCACTCAAAAAATTCTCTACACGTTCGATCGAAGTGTTTTTAAACACTTAATTTTTAAAATGCACAATCAAATTTGTATTTTACCTTGGTTCAATGTGTTAAACACGTTAATTTCTAGTGTCTCAAACTTTGAAATGTTGAAAATCTTTCACTATCTATTCAAGTGGATTGCACATTGATTCACATCTATTCAAGTGTATTGCTCATTGATTCACACTATTGTTCAAAACAGATGGATTTAAAGTGTTTTGCATTCCAATGCGATGTGAATTGCTTGCTCGGAAATGTAAACATCGAAAACAAGAGTTGTGACTTTATCCTATCAACCCGCTCATATATGAGAACAACCGTGGCACAGTGGGATCGAACAAAGACTCCGGCAGCAGCACACCCCAACAGTCTCCATGATCGAATCCCAAATCAGACCCATTAAAAAGATATGTGAAAGCTCTGGTCTATGGCAGTTTTTTTATATATATTTGTCGATTCATTTTTAGAGTCGGCAAAGTAGAAGTCGATAAAGTAGAATATTGAACTATGATGTGCAAAGGCACATAGAATTTCACAATTCAAATCTATAGTGTTCAGGCATGATTCATAGCATAAGATTCGCACATGAAATGGATGTGTTTCACAATAAGCGCAAAATCAAGTGTGAGACACATGATGATGACGTGTAGAATTTTTTTAGTGTAACATCTCTGATCACGCCTTCCTTCGGAAGGGAAGTAAAGCCGTTGGTCCCGGGTTCATGAGTTGATGGGTCCATAGTAGGGTTCAGGTGTGGGAGCTGCCTCCCTGGCGTCGGTAGCATTGGTGCTCAGCACGGAAAACAAGATCGACGGAAAACAAATCAAGGAAAAAAAAGATCCCTAGTCACAACCACTTCAAACTAGAGAACAACGAATAGAAGATTAGGAATCACATAGATGAAGACTAAGTAACTCATTTTTTTTTCTGATTTCAAGATCATCCTCGGTGGACAAAGCCGAGTCTTGTCACTATCAACAAGGCATAAAAAGTAACAAGGACTAAGATGTGTTCCTTTGATTATTGAAAAATCCAATTCCATTAGTTTGAACACCCAACCGGAGGATGTAAGATTCGCTTAAAATTAAGTGGGATTCATCATCAGAGGATGTTAGTGGAGACCGCATGAACCGAGGATACGATATACCTAGCTGTGGTTCAATGCGAGAAAATGGAAAAAAGAAAAATGTGGAGTGAAATAAATCATGTCGAAAAAAAAGGTTGCCGGACTGAGGGGTTCTCGAACCAGGGAACTTTACAGCTTTTAGACCTGTGCTTTCTCCACTGCTCTCTCCATGCTTCTGAATACGGATAGCCTAAAAGCAAACAAGAAGCACTCCTTTCCTCTCATACTCGACTTCGTATGCTTTTCATGCGGTTCATGCGGTCTCCACTAATATCCTCTGATGATGAATCTCACATAATTGTAAGCGAATCTTACATCCCCCGGTTGGGTGTAGGTACAGTCCGGAATTCTTATTGCCGGATTCCTTATTGCCGGGCAATCCGCGAATAAGGATACCCAGAGCTTATGGGATTTTCACTAATAGGGGCTGTGGTGGATTATCTCATTTGTTTCAATGTATAAAGCTATATTGTCTTGGACAAAGTTGTTGCACTGGGATAGACCCACAAGCCTGTGTTATTGGTTTCAAGTTTAATTGGGAACTACGCCGCTAGAGGCGCTTCACTATAATGTTACTTATGACGGTAACTTGTCCACTATTAGCTACAGTGGCGGGCGCTATAATATATGAATCTTAGGTCCAACATATAATATTTCGTGATCCTGGCCATATAGAAAGTTACTGTCTTGAGCAAAGTTGTTCAAGTGACCAAGTCCTTTCGGATGGTGGCCATATTAGTTCAGAACTTTCTCACTACGCAGTGCTAGTGTGCACATGAGCTTCCTATGTAAGCTGTATCTCAAAATCCCGGCCATATAGAAGGTTACTGTCTTCAGCAAAGTTGTTCAGGTGATCATGTCCTGTTGTATGGTGTTCATATTAGTTCATAACTCTCTCACTACGCAGCGCTAGTGTGTATGTGAACTTCCTATATAAACTGTATCTCGAGAACCTGGCCATTTAGAACGTTGCTGTCTTCAGCAAAGTTGTTCAGGTGACCAAGTCCTTTCGGATGGTGCTCATATTATTTAGGTGCTCTCTCACTACGCGGCACTAGTGTGCACATGAACATCCTTAATATGTTATGTCTGGAAAGCTTGTCCATATAAGATTTTGCTGTGCAATGTGAGGACACGAAACGGATTACGGATGACGTGTAGAGAGGAATGACGTGTAGAGGCTGGAAATCGATGCAAGACTCAATTTTGGAATCCAAGATGGCGGCCATCGGTTCAAGAAAAACTGTCAAATACCCTACAATATGGGTATTTCCGGATAGGGGACGACGTGTAGAGGCTGTAAACCGATGCCAGACGCCATTTTTTAATCCAAGATGACAACAATCGGTTCGAGAAAAACTGTCAAATACTCTAAAATATGGGTATTTCCGGAAAGGGAACAACGTGTAGGGGATGACGGAGGAGTTTTGCGCAGCCAAGAACATTAACTTCAAGGCTTTGCTGCTCTTTGATAATGCTCCGTTGCATCCGCCCACCCTAAGCAATCCCAACATAATGCTTCTCTATATGCCACCAAAGATCACGTCTTTGATTCAACCCCTTGATCAAGGTATCATTAAAAATTTCATGCTGAAGTATTTCAAGAGAAGCTACAGTTTTATTCTGGAAACAGCCGAGAATGAAGGCCTTTCACTAGCGGATACACGAAAGTAGTTCAGCATCAAGAATTGTTTCGACTGCTTGGATGTGGTTCTAAAGGACATAAAACAAAGCACGTTGGTAAACTGCTTGAAGAAAATTCTTCCGTCGTATTTCGCGAATTCACAATGCAATGAAGACGACAACGAGGATTTGTAGATCATGTCCGAAATTCAACAAATTCGCGGAAAGTTTGGTGCGCCGGTGATAAGAAACACAGTGAAATGAACGAAATCATAAGAGATGAACCGGCTACAGCAGATGAAATTGTTAGCGAACTGGACCCATCTACAATCAATATGGATTATATTTTCATCACACCACGGCAAAAATCGAGTTCAAAATAAATCAAACTCTCCGAGTTCGAAAGCTTCTGCACATTGGACAGTAATTCTGTGCAAAAATGCAAGATTTGCTAAGGGAAATCAAAACGTTGCCATCTTGCTCAATGATACGTTATACACATTATACAGATTATACGCAATATGCTTGGCAAGCATAATTCAGGAAAATTAATGCGAGTAAAGATTTTAAGCTCCAAAAAACCCTAATTAATTAGACAAAATTCATCTTCCTAGTGGATTATCGCCAAACCTACCCCGTAAACGGTCCACGTTAACTGTGCTGAACTGATACAAGGCTGTTCATAGCCACTAAATGTCCCTTCAAAAGCCAATTGCCACCATTTTGGATCCTAAAATGGTGGCAGACATCGAGTGGGCCTTCACACTTCGTCCCCATTAATAGTTTACGTTACAGCAAAGGCTGCCATCTTCAATTTCAAAATTACGTCTGGCATCGATGTCTGATCTCTACACGTCGTTCTCTGTCCAAAAATACCCATATTGTGGAATTTGACAGTTTTTATTGAACCGAGATGCCCGCCAGCTTTGATTCCAAAATGGCGACTTGAATCGATATCCAGCCTCTACACGTCATCCCCTCACCGAAAATACCCATATTGTAGGGTATTTGACAGTTTTTCTTGAACCGATGGCCGCCATCTTGGATTTTAAAATGGCGTCCGAAATCGATTTACAACCTCTCTACAGGTCATCTCTACACTCCGTTGCGTGTTCTAACATTGCACAGTAACATCGTTCAAGGAAGTTCGTGTGCACACTAGCGCCGCGTAGTCAGAGAGTTCTTAAATAATATGACCACCATCCGAAAGGGCTTGGTCACCTGAACAACTTTGCTGAAGACAGCAACGTTCTATATGGCCAGGTTCTCGAGATACAGTTTATATAGGAAGTTCACATGCACACTAGCGCTGCGTAGTGAGAGATTTCTGAACATCCGAAAGGACTTGGTCACTTGAACAACTTTGCTGAAGACAGTAACATTCTATATGGCCAGGATCACGAAATATAATATGTTGGACCTAAGATTCATATATTATAGCGCCCGTCATAAGTAACATTATAGTGAAGCGCCTCTAGCGGCGTAGTTCCCAATTAAACTTGAATCCAATAACACAGGCTTGTTGGTCTATCCCAGTGCAACAACAGTGGATGTCGAAGACAGTATAGCTTTATATATTGAAACAAATGAGATAATCCACCACAGCCCCTATTAGTGAAAATCCCATAAGCTGTGGGTATCCTTATTCGCGGATAACCCGGCAATAAAGGATACCGACAATAAGGAATCCTGACTGTAGATCCGAACCCACAAACGAAATGAAGAGACCTACACCGGTAAGGTGCATTTTTAGAAGGCCACTCATTAAATACGTCACGCTAAAAAGGAGGTTAAAAATCTGGAACAAGCAGAAGCAATTCATAAGTTGCAGGAAAAAATAATGCAAGGAGGGAGAAAAGTCAACGATGGATCAGTGTGAATATTATTTAAATTAGACGCTGAAAAAAGCAATTAATTTTTGAAATTATACCTCGATTTCCATAAAATTGAACGCACAACTCTTTTCGTATACCGCCGCAACACTACTCTCCACCGAACTACTTATCACGACATGTGTCCGAAAATTAAACTACTCTTTTACTTAATATAATAATTATGAATTATTTAAGACACTGATCATTTCATATTTACGTACATGTTGCTACTAATAAAGACTTGTGCGGATTGTTTCATGTGGACTTTGACGGACCTATTTAGAAACTTTCATGTTGCTAAAAAGTACCGCTGGGAACTTGTTCGGAACTTTGTTGTGGTTTTCAACCCTGCGTGAAGTTCCTTAGAAGTGCTTACGGATGCTTTTTGGAACTTTTTTTGAACTTCAAGTTGCTAAGAGTACGCTTCGGAACTTTTTGGAGCCTGAAGTTCCTCGTGTGCTTTCTATAGCTTCTAAAGCAGCCAGAAAGTTCTGTTCAACCTTATTACTTTGTTTTTCCTTTTAATTCTACTACTGTTGTATCACTTTCACTTTCACTAATTCACTATTCACTTTCACTAATTCACTATTCATTTTCACTATTTACTTTCATTATAACTTTAAAAAAAACTATAACATATTGGGCTTGCCATATTTTGTTAGACTATGACTAGACACTGAAGAAGTTTGCAAGTAGTAAACAAAATACGTATCTGTTATAGTTTTTTTTTTAAGTGATGGTTTAAGTAAATAGTGAAAGTGATTAGTGAATTAGTGAAAGTGAAAGTGATATAATAGTAGTAGAATTAAAAGGATAAACAACGTAATAAGGTATATTAGTTTAGAGCAAATAGTTTTGATAAAAAGAAGGCTGTATTATAGACTGGAAATCGTTGTGATATATGCTATAAAGTATAAAGTTACGAAAGGTCAATCGGATTTTGTTGATTATTTAATAAAACTAAATGTAATAATAGAAACTGCTAAAGTGTGGTTGTGTCAGTGATTTGTTTTCATCTGGAATTTTTGACGTTGGATAACGTCTTTCGGCAACATACGGGGGTACAAAATTGAAAACAGTCATTTTGGATGCGTTACGAAAATTAAAAGATTTTGAACGATAATAACTCAACCGTCTCTCGATAGATTTACGAGATAATGGCATCAATCGATTTGAATTTGCTGAATGTTTCAAAACTATTGATTTCATTCTGTAAACTATTGAAAATGGTTAAAAGTAAACCATTGTCTAAAGATAGTGAAAATCGATAGATTTTTTTATATTCTTATAATTTCTCGAACCGAGACATCAGATGCGAGTATCTGACACCTCTGATATTTTCTGTTCTACCATATAAGCATCCAACAAGGTCGCCCGTTCCATCATTGTCGATCCGATCGTCAACCCAGCAGCAGAGCAGCAGTACCAGAGCAGCGGAAGCAGAGCAACGGCAGTAGAGCAGCGGCAGCAGAGCCTGGGGGCGAAAGGGCAACTACGCCGAGTGCGTTGGTGCCAGTGCTCCGGTATACTGGGCATACCGTCATGGAATGCCCAGCTGCTGCAGTTCTCAGTTGGTCGTATTCACCGTCTGCTCCGCAAGGGTAACTACGCCGAGCGCGTTGGAAAAATGGCCCTTTTCAGGGCCACAACATTATCAAGAAAGAGTTTAACGATTAATTTTCTAATGCCTTTCCGACACTTGAATATCGAAAGTTGAATCTTCGCAGAGCCATAGATTCCATTTTTATTGCATTTCTACAAAACTTATTTCAGAATCGAACTCGTCTTCACAGACTGTGTGAAGAAGAACGATGCATCATCGAGCACAACCCGTTCCGTTCCAAAATCGTCCTCATCACAACCTCCAAAACAACCATCTACCCTCTCGACATCTCGAGTGGATTTCCCGGTTCATCATACCACCTAGCGCTGTTCTACTGATTGGTAATAATATTTACCCGGAGTTCACCGCACTCGTGGTTGAAGCAAAGCGCCCGGCATGCAAACCGCTCATCAAAATCCGGCACCCATGCTCGGCATAACCATCATTTCAAAAGCACAACCAAAACGGCCCTTCTCAGGGCCACCAATAATTCGACAAAGAGTTAGTTTTGAAGACAATTTCTTCCCAGAATATCACAGTTACACTTAAATTTGGGGACTATACTGGGGTGCGGGAACGCTGGAAGGGGAGATGCTGTCTGACTTCAAACTACCAACATCATTCCAAAGCTCCTCCAGGGCGACAGAGTAGAGCAAACCCAACAACATCAGCCCAACAAAACGGCCCTTTTCAGGGCCACCAAACTTTCGCAAAAGAGTTATTAAGGGATATTCCTAAAATATAATATACACAATTAAGTACAACACATAACAGACGTTATTCAACGCCAACCCTGCGGTCGTATCTAGTATACAACCCTTCCAACTTTTTTCGCTAGGGTAAACGCTGCTATAGTTGCGGTACGTTAGAAGCGTTAGGTTCCTATAGACCTTTTTGACGTTTAATCGTATTTCTCTATCTAGCACACATGGATGAATGAACGGTTTGTTTTCCCACTAATCTGTTTCCCTCTTGCTCGCACTCGTTCGATTGAAATGGTGCAGTAGTGTGCGCCGATTAAACGTCAAAAAGCTCTATAGTTGTGTATTGAGTCTGCATACACAACTATAGGAACCTAACGCTTCTAACGTACCGCTACTATAGGAGCGTTTACCCTATGAAGTTTTTTTCCCCGATGAAAACATTTTGCGTATACGTATACGTGAAGTAGTGTGCATACGATAAACGCCAGCAAACTCTATGCTCATAAAACTTTAATCAAACTCAAACAAAGCTGTAAGGCATTAAGAATGTTACTTGGGATTCATCGCCCATAAAGAACGATAAAACTATAAACATCCTCAGTATTACTTCCAGTTCCCCTGTGCATACATGAATAAACATTGGAAGAAAAAGACTAACGCTTTTCTTCAGGAGGAATTCATGTGTATATCAGTACTTCTACCTTCGTTTGATTAATAAAATTTAACAGTGTGTTAGCAGTGCCCCTAGTAGGTATGCAACGTAGTACTTTAGAGCTTACACAGCAAACAGCTGCTTTTCTATCAGGCAGTTTGAAGTCGATCATTTCACCGGTCTTGGGTTCTACATGTTCGCTGGTGTTCAAATCTACTATGACGAAACATATAGCAATGAATGAATATATGTTGGTGACTGTTTGAAAATGAATAATTTGTTTCAAATATCAAAATAAATGTCTATGAGTAATTTCTATAGGTTACAGTCGAATATTCTAATTTAATTAGGACACCCATTAACTGAAACGACTGAGGGTGAGAACAAGACAAGCTTCTTGAAAAGTCTTACTAGAAGAAAGAATCAATCAACAATACTTAAAAGCCCCTCACCCAAAACCACAAAGCTGCCGAAAAACTCGAAGCCTAACACTCTCCGGAAACATTGCGTGCAGCTCAGTAGGAGCCGTGCATCCGATCAGTGCGCTTGCTTTTTGATCTGCTAGCTCGATCGTCTATTTTTAGTCCCCCGCCGTGATCACGTTGCTCAAGATATTTTTGTTTTGGTGACAGAAGTACTGCAGTAGAGGTGCTGTTTTTCCAAGTCATCCCAAAATGGACGTGGAAAATAATTCCGTGGAACCGACAAAGGTTGAACCGAGCTCGGATCAGGTGAGTGGAAAGGGGGTAGCATCTTCGATGGAGCATTGTTTTCTAATTTGTGTATCATTATTTCCGACCTTGGTCAACGAAAACAACAGCCACCAACGGTGTTGGTCAATCCAGTGACGGGGGAAGTGATTCCAAACTTCAACACCTACCAACAGAAGAAAAATCTCGCCCAAGGCATGATGGATCTGGCCCTGGTATCGGCCAACGCTAATCAGCTGCGCTACGTGATCGAATCGTTTACCCGCCATCCGTACTACTACTTCAGTTTGATCTTCATCTCGGTCAGCTTGGTTATTCAGATTGCGGTCGGCGTTGGACTGATCATGAACAGCCGTTACGATGTGAATGACAAACGGGAGATCTGCAAGGCGAACAAAATCAACGATATGGTCACGATCGGAATCTTTCTGATAACGTTGGTCAACGTGCTGATATCGGCGTTCGGTGTCGCACCGCAAGTGAACTGATCTTTGTAGTTTGACTTGGATATAACTGAGTGTGTGATTTTTTTGTGTAATTTAAGACAGCTTTTTTTTAAATAAATGAATTCAACGATATTTTAAAGATATGTTTATAGTTATTGCAGCAACTTTCCCGTACATTTCGGCTTGATGCAAACTAGTATAAATTTCACGTGCTACATGCAGTAACAATTAAGTGTGAAATGAGAGGAAGCTGTAATCGAGGGAGAGAGTGAAATTCAAGATTGGATCGGTGCTTTTTTTATATTCGGAAGCAAACTGGTTTTTCGATAATAAAATGCCGATTTATACGCACTGACCAAAAGACCTACATTTACGTTTGATTTACATATGAATAATGGGGATGATAAAAATGTGTATTTGCTAGCTCAAATTCAAACCTCAGAGGCCATCCAACAGAGCGTCTGTATATGGCTATACCGGTTTCTGCAGCATCTTATGACTGCCTATCAACCATGCATTCTCGGATGACTTCCTGTCGGTAATTTATAATATTTCAAACATTCTAAGCCTACCATTAATGTTGGTACAGTAGCTGGTGAGATCAATAATAATACCCTAGGATCAGCAAATTCAAGCAACAGATTCTATATCGAACTTGAATCGACCGAGAATAACCTTTCGTCTACGGTTACGGCTATCGATGGCTCACAACACAAGAACTATGGAATTAATGGTAAATGTATATGCAGTAGTGGCAATTGATATTTAAAGTTGTTTGAGTATCAAAACACAATTTACTTAGCATAATCATAGGTCATCACTCAAATTAATATAAACATACATCAGTGCAACTGTTCTGCTCACATTATCAGTGGGTGATTTCATGAACAACCATAGTTAAATGTACGTAGTATATATTTTAAATAAGTTTTCAAATTCTTTCAATCACACCTCAATTTCATATGAATGTTTCTGATGATTGAGCTGACACAATAAAAATTTGCTTATGCTTTTATAGGTTTGGGTGTGATAAATGTTACTATGCTTATAGAAAGTATGAAAATACACAGGTTTATACTTTAACGAATTTAATTGAGCTTAATTTTAAAATATAGTTCGCTACATTAAACAATGTTTAAATTATCTCAAAAATCGTGCTTCCAAGTTTCTACTGTCATTTCCTCGGAGTGTACTTTATCCTCATGGGAATGTAGGACATATAGGATCGCTAAAGTGCCCGAGCAGGAGAAAATATTTAGTGAATACCTAATTATGACCTGATACCAAAATTTTATGTTGATCAGCATGACATAAGAGGTACAATACCAAAGAATAATACCAAAAAAATACATGCAAAATACTTTGCAAATAACAAAAAGGATACAAAAAGAATACCTGTGTGGATTGTTTTGGTATTGCATTTAAATAAGTTGATATTGGAATGGTATTGTGAGAACATTTTTTTGGTATTTTACCTCTTATATCAGGCTCATCCACACCAATTTAATGTATCGAGATATTCGTTCGTTCCCAAATTGAACTATGTACAAGCAAAGAAGGAAGGATCAAAATACGAAACAAATAATAATTCAACCAACACGAAAAGACACGTAACAGAAAACTTCATACTTATATTACGAGGAAGAAGAAAAACGGTTCAACGGGCACGCATTTCTACCTTTTTCAAACAGGTACTGTAGAACAGGTGCAATAAAGTGGCGAACACGAATTTGAAATGAGAAAGAAAATGAATTTCATGATTTAAAAAAAAAAACATAAGACCAGCTTCCTGTTAATCTTTTGCCAGTAGAAATTCAAGGTATTAAATTTTTATTTGTAAAGACTTTTCGTCACAGGAAAAAAAAAATGATATGAAAATAAAATTAGGAACAAGGTTTCAATAACCCCCATCTGCTTCAGCACGCACTTCGAGTTCACAGGAGTTATCTCATAATAAACAGTGGTGCAGAGCTGAGGATCACATTTCGATGGTTGCTTCCCTACGACTAACATTGAGTAGTATTTTTCATTTCGAGCTTTTGGTAGATTGTCAGATTGATGCCCAAGAAATTGCAAAGTGAAGAAACAAATAGATTAAGAAAATGCTTCCGTAAACTTTTTCCTTGAAGATTGGTAAAAACATCAAATAATAATTAAATAATTTGTTTGTATTATTATGTTCATCCTTTCGCCCTTTATAACACCGGTTTTCAATCTATGAGTCGCGACCAACTAGTGTTTAGCGGCGCCGGTGGTGTAGTGGTAAGCGTGATTACCTCTCACCCCAGCAGGCTTGGGTTCCATCGCAGTCGGCACCGCCGGGATGTTCTGAGCAGCGTTGCCAGATTGTTTTAAAGCTTATCGGTATCAAAGGTATTAAAAAATCGGTATTTATCGGTATTTACCCTTTATTTAATTTTATATTTTTTCCGTTTTTGAAAGCGAAAATTTTAGCGATGGTAACGATTGGTATTTGAGGTGAATTGCTTTGTTTGACGGCTTTCTCAGTCTTAAAACACTTTTTAGTTTTTTAATTTAACATTTAAAATTATCGTTGTCCTCAAGTGGTGATTAAAATTGTGACCAAGTAGTGGGTTTTTTTTTTTTCAATTAAATATCAGTGCTCATAAAAATCACTCCTTCTAAACTCAACTTAGCTGAAAATGAAGGCAACCTTAACAAATAAATCAACTAACTGCATGAATCTGAATTTTGACATAATAACATTCTCTTGATCAAGGCAACCTATGAGTACCGTAGTCATCATTTGTTTGTCTTCATTTGTGGCTGGATGTTCATTATCGCCTCCGTTGTTGTAAAAATTAATATTCGTCTTCATCTTGGTGGGGATGATTTTGAGGATCAAATGCAAAATGATTATTTACATTTACTTAAATATAGCGCTGAAGGACGTGGCGTGTTAGTTTTTACACAAAAACCAATGGCAAATTATGGCCTCAAGCTGAACTGATAATAAAATCCCGGTTTTAGGCTCTGGAGTCAACAATATTCAAAATAATTATTTTTCTCAAAATGAATTTGATTATGTTGCTTTTGAGGATCATTTCTGTTTTTGACAATTTTGGGTTGGATAATCAAGCACTGGAGAATATCAACAAACGCGTACTCGTTGGTGTATAATAAACTCATTTGTTCATTTCGCTCGTATGTAACAGCGAAGATTTTCAAAACAAACGCCATTCATCTACACTGGGTTGAAGCGATACTCCTTGCGTGTGGTGGTAAATGATAAAAACACACACTGTTAAATATTATTAAATGAATCCAAAATATGGAAAATCAGCCACAACAACGGCTAAACTATTGACAAACAATATTTTCCCTTGAAAAAAGCCACAACCTATGGCCGAAATTTCGGGTACATTACATTGTAGTCGTTGCAGTGTTTTAAGACTGAGAAAGCCGTTAATCAAACCAAAATTTTAGCTTTTGAACTATGATCGGAAAATTCCGGAAGAAAACTCCGGGGAATGTTTGAATTAGCTTCTGAATGGAGCTGAAAAAACATCCAGAGAAAGCCGAAAGAAGCTCTCCTGGATGAAGTTCGAGAAAAGCTGGAAAAACATCCGGGAAACATCCAAACAACTTTCGGAAAAAAATCGGATGTCACATCTAAAGGAAGCCAGAAAGTTTCGGAAACCGGAAGTATCCATTTCCAGGGAAAGCCAGAAGAAGCTCGGAAAAACCTTCCAATAGAAGTAGAACAAAAAAACCATTGGCTTATGGTCAAACTTCCAGAAGAAGACGAAAGAAATTTCTGGGAGATTAATTGAACTTCCTGGAGAAGACGAAAGAAACTGTCAGAAACTTCTTAAGGTAGATTAGAAGAAACATCTAAAGAAAGTCGGAAGCCAAAGCGCTAAAGGAACAGTCAAAAGAAACAAGGACATAATTCCGGAAGAAATAGATTCCTGGGGGATGTTCTAATGATCCAGAAAATTTTCCAGATGTTCAAAAACCATCCCTGAAAACTCCGAAATTTCCCTGAAGTTTTCGGAGCATTCCTGAAATAAACTTAGGAATATTAGCATAATTCCTCGAAATTTCTTGAAAGATCTTGTAATTTCCTGAAATTAGGGGCTGTTTAGGAGATCTCTGGTCATCCTCGAAGCGCTCGGAACTTCTCTGACTACCGGAGTATCTATAATCATCTTAGAAGGTTTCTGAACTTTCTTGAAGATTACGAAATCTCTTATGTGCTCTCACAATTTTCTTGAATTTATTGTTACATCAGCATTGAAGTTCTCTGATATCCCGATTTTTTTTTAATTTTTAAAAGTTATTGACACTGCCATTAAAAAGCATAGAACTTCCCATAACATGTTCTCACAATGCTCTAATGTTCATGTAACTTCCCTTACGTTTCCTAAATTTGCATGGACATTGCTGAAGTTTTCGGAAATTGCCTGAGTTTCTCGGAACTGCTTTATAATTTCAGCGATTTCATTGAAATTAATTGATCTGTCCTGATGTTCTCTGAGCTTTACTAAAGTTCCAGAAAACCATTAAATTTCCCTGGAGTTCTTTGGACTTGTGATGAAGGTATTCAGAAATAAATTAAATTTTGACATGGCAGTGGATACCTGCTGATTTTTAGTACCGATTGATTAGTACATAACTCGTAGATAAAAGATGGATTCTTCAGTGGTGTTGAGTACTTGGCACTGATGAAGTCTGCAAGTAGTAGACGAAATACGCGTATCTGTCAAAAGATAAGCAATGCGTCGGTCGCTGGAGGTAACCAGTTTCAGCCGTCTTGACTGCTGTATCGACAAGACCCTCTCGACCGGCCATAGTGTGAATGAACTAGATTGAAGTCAATCCCGAACAGAAGTTGTTCTGGATGAAATCACGAGCCACTGGGAATTTGCTGTGAATCGGTTGAGACGGACTGAGTTTTGCTCGAGTGGGACGACTCTATCTACGATGCAGGAAATATTGTGTTTTGATGTGGCGTGTACGCTGAGTAGATAGAAAGAAGATTTATCATGATTTTGAAGATTTCCTGCAAAAAGATGATGCGCGATGCAAGTAGATGCGAGAAATGTAAGAAGATTT